TTGTAGTAGCTGTTGTTGTTGTTGTTGCTCTGGTGGTGGTGGTGGTGGTGGTGGTGGCATCAGCAGCCGCAGCGCAGCGGCCGCAGCAGTAGTAGCCAGTACATAAGCATGTGCAAGTAGTGGGAGCACAAACTGTTGAATGACAGTGATGCAAGACTAAGCTGCTTATGTCTACGAGCCTACACTTCGGCAGTTGTTCATACAAGTTACACAGTGTTGTATGTGCGTTTTGCATGCTCGTAAATACAGGTATATCACGGTATATCGCAGTATGTCATAGGCAGGCAGTAGCTGCATCCGGTAGCTGCAAACGAGATCGATGTATACCGAGAGTGTGGACCCCCCGTCTGTAAGCCAGAGCACTGGTTGCGGGTGTGGAGAACAGGATTCTTCATCTTGTGGTCCAGAGTTCCTCTCGACTGCTTCAAAGTTCTGCTGTAACCGTGACCTGGATTCTTAGCTGGTTCCGGCATAGCTAGCTCGACAGTGCTGTCACAAACCTACAGGCGAGCAAGATCTTCAGCGGTCCTGCGAAGAAGCTCCTGTTGCCAAATTCTGGAGCCTGTTGGATTCCTTCGAAGAGCGCCCAGCAAAGGAAGCAAATCTCCAGGCAATGCTCCTGTCTGACGCAAGCAAGGGAACATGATGTCCTAGGCCCGCGAAATTCTATTTGGATGCAGTTGCGTCCTCCTGTTCGGCAAGAGTGTAGTCTGTGGACTCCTTCTCACCCTTCGTCCGGATGACCGCCTCCTGGTGTGACCCCACCACGAAGCAGTCTGCGCTGCAGCTCATCATCGCACCAGCTTTTCGATTCAAGATCAAATGCTGGCTAGATGCAGCTGTGTCATTCTCCACCACTTCATCAGCATCCTGAACTGGTTTGATCATGTTGGCAGGGTCGTGAACCTCCGGCGAGAGGTTCCAGTGAGTGATGACCTGCCCGATGATTTTGCCATACACTGCAGAAGACCCCGTGATGCCGCCGCATTCTGTCTGTGCTACGACGGCCTTGTCGCAAATAATTTTGGGGCTCAGTTCCTCCACCATGCGTCGAATTGTGGATCCCTTGTGTTCCACGACCTCCTCGGATGTCTGCCTGAAGTAACAGCCAAAGGCATGCCGCAGACATGCCGGATGCGGTTGAGTTGGACTGGAAACTTTCAGACGGCACCTATAGTTGGGATCTTCAGGATCAAGCTCTTCTTCTTCGAGCAGAGACATGAGAAACTTCAAGACAGAGATTTCACCTCGCAAAGGGGGCCGCGAGATGGTCTACAGCTGTCATTCAATCTGATTCGCACTTTGCAAGTGAAGTGTAGCCTGAGGAAACACAACATAACTTGTAGGCAGCTGCTTGGAGTCTAAACTGAATATGCCATTGCAAGCATAGGCACAGTTACGCATGGAACGCAGCAGCTTCATAAAGGACTCGAACAAATCCTCGTTGTCTTGGAGCAGTGCGCGGAAGGTAAACTCATCTGTGCCTGGGAGCGATAGCATCGCTCTAAGCGACCGAGTATGTGCCGGAGGGAGTCGAACTGAAAAGGCACTCTCGCGGTCCCCGGTCCCAGGCCCTGGCGTTGTCGGATCCAGAGCTGATTCACGTCCAAAAGAATTTCCTGGGCAGGGCGCCCGCGAAGCTCGCATGCGCTCGCTTGATGAAATTGCTCGAATTCTGCTCGCATTCGTTTTCCAAGCCGCACTTTCCAGCAGCAACTTTTGATTTCCACGGTCAGGGCCTGTCAGAGCGAAGGTGCTTGGATCAGCGGCTGATTCTTGCAGCTGCAGCTGGCCTTGCACAATTTCAGCAGCTGTGTCGAACAGTTGCTTGAGCATGGAATACTTTGTCTCTGATCTGCCCATTGACACCTGCCATTGCTGGTCGGACTTCATTTGCTCCTCCAGCTCAAGACTTCACGCAAGACAATGGTGGAAACCATTTACGAAAGGCAGGAAGGGTTGCTGGCAGTTCTCAGTGCAGAGGAGCTTCAATGGTTTGCCGAGCGAGGGTGCAAATCCACTCAACAAGGTTGGTCGGCCCTTCCATGCTGCGATCTTGATCGTCATCGTCATCGTCTTCGTTCCTTGACAGGATTCAGCAGTCCGCTCTGCAGGCTCTGTAACTTCTGAGGGTAGTAATGCGCATGCAAGCATGTCCTCTGAAGATATTCAGCCAAAAGGGTTGCAAAGTCTTTGTCCTCAATGGACAGATCTTCACCGACAAAAGCCTCGGGCAGGTGCACTTCAGGGCGTCGTCGTGGAAAGTAGTAACTATAACTACAAGTATGTAGAAATCACATGGTATCTACAGCAGACCAGCCTGGAGCTTGGAATTGTGACCTTCGCATAAATTCTGGATCTTCCTGCATGACCGTCGATTGTTTTGAGGCTTCATGCAAAGGGCCCAGGTCCTGAGCATGACGTCCATGACTCTGGTCTCGTCGTCCCCATGTTGCTCGTGATGATGGAAGCTGCTGAACTGGTAGGCAAGTGCCTGCAGCTGATCATATCGCCTACCTTTGAAAGCGTCACGATGCGTCACGCCGTCCCCATGCCTTCTGAAGGTTTAGCTGGGGCGAATCAAACCTAAAGCGCAGAGCGGCGCAGAGGCAGGACCAAGGCTGGTCTGATACCACTTCAGGAATTTTTGTTCTGCGATCCCGCGCCAAGGTACTTGCAGAAAGCCGCTTGAAGATTCAGATCAGCATCCTCCAGAAGTTTGCAACCCAATTTAAGAGCTTCAAGGCGCAGCCAAACATCGGGATGGTAAAGCATCTCCTTGGTTTCAACTCGTTGCAGAAGCCAAACTCAGCCAAACTCATGAACTTGAGAGTGTCTTCAGCAAAGCCTCTGGAACCAGCCGCAGCGGGTCTGTAGGCTCAACCTGTGCATCCTCGAAAAAGCGCGTCAGCCTCAGCCGAACCTGCCAGATCAGGGAGGTGGCTCACACTCTTTGGGGCATTTTTCGGCGAACCGGAACCTGGCCTTTTTCTTCATGTCCGTTGCAACGCTGAAGGGGCAGAAGAACATTGCCTTCTCCACAACAAACCTGGGTTCTCAAGCCATTGCTTGTGTCAACCGCAAGTCTGCCAAGGCATGACCACTTCGGAAAGGCAAGCGGCGACTTCAGAAACTGATGACTTGTCTGCTGGGCTGGTGTCCACCTCTCCCAGATTTCCTGCATCTTCTCGCGAAGTCACGCAAGGGAACAACACCCTCTCTTGAAAGGGTAGTATGCTAAAATCTTCTGCGCCTCGATGTCGTCTTGACGGGTGAAGATTTCCTGGGAAGGCTGAGAGCTCTTGCAGGCCACCGCTCTATCGAGCTCGAGTGCAATGGCCTGCAGTATGTTGAGCAAGGAGGCGCAGCCTTAGACAAAAACATAAGAGCCGCCACTGTTCAACTTGAGTACTTCTGTGAGGCGAGTGGAAGGCTTCAAGCCTGGCGTCTGTGACCTTCCCCATGACTGCAAGACCCCCTCATTCTATCTCAATCAAGCTGGGGAATCATAGGCTTGGCTTGTGCCTCGGAGAACATGTCGTCCGTACATCTGAGATTGACGATCCACCAAGGATACAAACCCCAACACTCAAATGAATTCTCATAGATTCCTACTGCCTTGTTTGTGCATTGCTGTTTGCATCACTGTGTTGCCCTCATCATGTGCATCACATTGAACGTGCGTTATTTCTTGCGCCTGCTGTGGCTCTCCTTTCACTCCTCCGCATCGCCACGCGTCATCACGCGTCTCGGTGCGCAAACGGGGGCGGGATTCCAAACACCCAGGAAAGGGTGAACGCACCACTGCAACTAACCCAGCCTGGGATGTGGGAAGCGAGTCATTTATCGGATCCCAGACGAGGTTTTGGTTGGCGGTCTTCTCAAGTCTAAGGGTGATGAACATGGGCACGGAAGTGACAGAAGGGTTTGTCGAATCAGCTCGAAGAGAAATTACTACTTCAAAGGGATCCGTTCCGAGAGTCGCGCACAGCAATAGCAGCGTTTGTCTGGCATGGGGTGGACTTGTTAGTTTGCGAGAGACACTCGAGCTCAAAGGCGCCCGGAAGATTGAAAGCTTGGCGCACAATTCGTGCAGCCCTACCGGGCCTGCGCCAAGATGCTGGCTCAAGGCAGCTCGTGGGTGCTTTGCAGCAATATTTCCATGTACTTCCTGCAGTCCGAAGACATCGCTTCTGTCCCAATCCTACCCATCCTACCCTTACGCCGCCGCAGCCCCGGGTGCTACCCCCCCGCCCCGTCCGACCTGCTGCCCCCCCTTTGCTGCCCCCCTTTCTCCAGACAGCGCAGATATCTTCCGTCAGAATCGCCTGTTACGTTTCTGCACGCAGGCGCTCCATGACGATCGTCTCCAGCGGCCTGAGCCGGAGGCTCCCAATGCCCGGCCCAGGCCCGCTTCAGTTGCTCGTATCACGCCGAAGACTGACATGCTGGCTCACCCGCCGGAGTACCCAAGTCTGCCAGGACCACAGTCTATGCACCGGGAAGCCGAAGAGGCTGGCAAGCCATAGCCGATCAGGCTGATGTTGCAAAGAAAATCGCTTAGCGTCGCGTCATCGGGTCCGCCGCTTTGCCGGCTATTGGAACTGCGGCATTTTGCCTCTGAGAAGAGCGACTTACAAAACTGCGGTTCCTTGCCGGAAGAAAATTGCGGGACGAGCATGCGTCTTCCTTCTCCAATTCTCGCACACATGCTAACCGTCGTGCCTTTGATGTCTTGTTCTGTCTTCCCTAGGTGCCTGGCAGGAGCCTCCTGGCAAGAGCTGCGTGCTTGCAAGAGACATGCCCGCGCCAGCAGCATCTCCCCTGTGTCATCGAACAGCTTTTCGAAGATGTTCTCCTTGCCATGCATCACTTTGCCCACTCCTAGTTGCAAGTTGCAAGACCGCGAAATGCCTCCTCCATCTCGCCCGCACTGGTCTGTCCCCCATCATTCCTTGTGCTGCGAGCCGATATGATGTCGAACAAACCAACGGATGGCTCAACGACAAGATTGCTCCAAGGCGCGCGAAACTTAGGCGAGATTGGTTGGTGAATGCCACAGTGCGAATGACATGACAAATACGCAGGATCCATGAGCGCAAAGTCTCCATTCGTTCCTGCCCAGTGATGGCACATGTAGCAAGAAGCTAGATGTCAAAAGAAAGTTGCTTCCAGAAATTTCCAGAATGTGACAGCTCCTCCTCAGGTTCACGACAAAGGACCAGCGGCACCTCTAAGAGAGCGAGACTTTATAACCTTGCTTCTCGTCGCAAGCTGTGACGCGTCCGAGTCAGAAAAGCCGCTGCCTCGGAGTCGTTTATCTCGTCGAAAGCGTACTCGCTAAGGGTTTCAAACACCTCTTGCAGGCGTCGCTGTTGAACACAAGTCCAAGTCAAAGCGTTTGTGCGATTTGTGCCAGCAAGAGGCGGGCATAAGGTTTGGGAAGGTCGTTTGAACCTGTCGCGGCGCGGAAGACAATTCATCGAACGCAAGGCACTCTGAGCCCATGTCTCGTCGCTCCTGCAGCTCCCAGTCCCCACGTTCAATGTCCAGCTTGGTCAACAGCTGTTCAAGCATTACATAGCCTGCACAACTGGGTAGAGCGCACAGAATGATGCGTGATGAATCGGTGATGATGCAAACAGCTTCTTAGCGTGCAATGCAGCCAGGGGGCTGCATGCCCTGTTGACCATTGCGACAACGTCTTGATGCCTGAACTCCAAGATCTCGTAGCTCGAAGGCTCTCCGCTTCATCAAACACGGGAGCGTGCTCTCTCTCTCTCTCTCTCTCTCTCTCTATCTGCACATAACATAATATATACATATATATATACACATACATACATACATACATACATACATACATACCCCATATCATATGAAAGAAAACTGTTTGATGTCTTTGGGGTGTCTGTGGTGGCGAAGCGGTGCTCTGCCAAAACAAGGAGAAGGCCACCAAAGTTCATCCACTGAAGGGCAGATCACACGCCACCATGGACAATCGTCGGACCATGCAGGCAAGACACTCAGCCTCCAAAATGCGCGAGAGCCTTCAAAGCGGATCTTCAAGGACTGGGTGGACAGAAGGTTCAATCCATCTAATCTGAGTAATCTGGGTTCTCTGCCGCGCCTGACACGGTCGAGCCCTGATGTCCCGCCGCTCAGCCCAAAGCACTGCTCTTCGATGATGTCCACCAGAATGTTCCTGGTGTGGGTGCTGCCGAGTACGAGCTGTGTGGACGTGTGAAGCGAGACGACTGCACGGCGACGACACCAGCCTGTAACGCGGCATCAGGTGATGGATGACCTTACGAGCTAGGCCCTTCTTGTCGGTGAGGGACTCCAGCGCTTGCTCGTCCTTCGGCCAAGGCTGGAATCGAATCTTCACGCGGAGCTTCCACCCACCTGCAGCTCGACTCCAGGCTCGTTGGAAACGGCATGTTCTTGCTTCCCCACATTCACGACCTGCAAAGCACTGAACACTGCAGAGTGCATTGACAGCTTGGCCGCAAGCACGCGCGAGCCTTTTGTATCACCTCCGCGTCAAAGCTTGTCGGGCTCGTCAAGGCTGTCAGCCGAGGATTCGCCACAGTGATGGTTATGCCGGGCGTGTTTAAGAGGCATCGGGACCGCATAGTCACCTAGTGCGAGTCACGGACATCTCCAGTTCACATCATCTGAAGACACGACCTTCAGACACCTTGAGGCCGAGGCGGTGTTGGCTCCAAGGAGTTGCAGAACAAGCTTCTTGCGTCCGAGAGTGTACCTCGTTAAACTCCGTCCTAAACTTTCAAGAAAAGCCCCCAGACTTCATGGGGCACGAGAAGTTCTCCAGGAAGACCACATCAGAGTTGTTAACCTCTACTTCAAAGAAGACCTGATTCATAGTGATGTCCCTGTCGAGTTCCTTGTCGCCCCCTTGAGGCCCTTGGGGCTTTGAAGGATCATCGGATGTGCGCAGCAGCGCCGCTCTGACGTCCCGAGCTTCGATGGTCACATGTACCTCCATCATCAACTCCATGAGCACCTTCGGGGGAGAGAAGCCACACACACACACACACTCCTCAAAGAGGCAACTCAGCTCTGCGACGCGGCACATTGTCTTCAAAGAAGAGCTTCATCCCCAACGAGCTCATCTTGTCCCGCAAATCTTGCTGCACATTCCACGTTCGCTCGTCTGTGCCAATCAGTTCGAAACTGGAATGCCTCAGACGGTCCCGGTCAGAGGCTGAAGCCTGATCGTAGGGAGCCAGTCCGGCCGAGTCGCACCAGCTGCTGGCGTCGCCAGAGATTCACATCAACTCGCAGGTTGGCAGCGAGCTTGCTATCCTCAAGTTCGACCAGCTCGTACATAAAATCCTCGGTTGGGCATTCCAGGAAGTGCACCCAAAAGTCTGCAACACACAATTTTTCCGAGTCACCTTGAGGTCCTCCTCTTCTCGCACCTGCTTGCTGTGCCCGGGCATTCGCAATCCTGGCGAAGCAAAGGGGCACCAGACAAACGGAAGAGGCACAGAGGGCCCAGGCCAGGCCTCGGGGCAGGACCGGGTCCGGGCCTCCTTCGGAGACTTTGCCCGGGTCTCCCACCTTCGCGTGGTTCATGTCTCCGCATACCAAGGTCCCATTTGGTTTCTGCTTATCGCGGCCGGCAAACCCGCGAATGCAACCCGACTAGCCAGTGGCTCTCACAAAAACTCTCCAACGTCCCCCTGAACCCTGAATCAGACAGCCAATCACAAGAGACAAGAACACCAGGCTTGCTTGGAGAGTAGGTACTCTCCTTTAAGTCCCCGACCCTACAAATAGGGAAGAGTGACGGGAGGATGCCATCCAGCGACTTGCAGAACATGTCCATCATGAAAGTATGGTTCTTGGACCCTTTTGCGCATTCCCGGAGCCCAAATTCTGGGCCGAAAGACAGGCACTTTATCTTACTTTTCGGATGTCGGGACCGCACCTATGTCTGCATTTACACTGTACATACCGTAATCAACATCCAAACAAACACAAACAGACAGACAGACACACACACACACACATTCTCTTGACACCCCTCGCGCATTCCCATACCCCAAAGTGGGCCAACAAATATTATGCTATCACATCGGTGCTAGTCACTGCTAGTGTCTGCGTGTTCCGCAGGCAGGCAGGTGTCATGTTGTGTCACGTTGTGACACCTTCCACAGTCGGTGCATCAACATAGTCATGTACTGAGAACAGCTTGGTGCCACAGGCAGTGCCAGTCGAATGTCGCAGCTTCGCAGCTTCACCATTCCCAAGTCTCCCCCCAAAAATCATCAAAAATCTGTCTAACAGCTTAATTATTATGTTTATTGACAATGTGTTGAAGTGTCCCGGATACGAGTGCCAACCAAATCCAACCAACAAATTCATGTTGGACAAGTGGCCAAGACTTTGAAGGGCTGCGCATGGCGAGAGTGCATCTCTCGGTCCTGTCAAACCCCAAAACACTCTGCGGAGTCTTAACTCTTCAGGAAGTCCTTCTCTGAAATCTTGAGATGACGGCCGACGCGTGTCGCGGTGACCTGCCAAAGCTCTTCGAACTCCTGAGCTGGACGCACAACCGGCATCGGACATACAGAACAGAGTTGTAGCAAGCAAGCTTCATCTTGCTTGTTCCCTGCAAATCCTTGGCTCGTTGCATAAATGTGGACCAACTCTGCAGACCATGAGAGCACGAGACGGATTCGACAGCGTTCTTGCCATGGAGCCAACTCCAGATCCAGCCTGCCCTGAGTTCTGCAGGAAATCGGACTTGTCGCTCCCCCTCGCCTTAACTCACCGGTCTTCACCGAAATAGTGTGCACAACGGGCATTGGGAAACCTTGCTGAATGGAGCCTCTGCATCGACCTTCTCCACGTCCTCTTGTGGCGCCATGTGTTCTTCTTCGAAAGCGTCGGCTTTGTCCTGCCTCCCGCCGGAAGCGCGTCGCATGGAAACGCACGGAACCGCCACGTCTCAGCGGCGGGCTTGGAGCCATGGTCGGGCCACCAGGGACGCGGCAAGTTGGAGTCAGCCAGCGCCGACACTTCCTCAGGCCTTGCATTCCCGCAGAGCAGAGTGGAATCCTTGCATCGACAATGCTGGCTCCGAGCACGTTGCCCGATTCGCTGCAGCAAAATTTTGGCTTGCTCGCGTTGTTCGGCATCGCAAAGGCCCAAATCCATAATCTGGGAAGGGCATTGCCAAGTCTCTTGATGCGAACATGCTTCTGGCTAGCGCACGGAAGCGCAGGGAGGGAGGGTACGTTACACAAACGTCTATGAGCCGAGCAGGCCTGCTGAATGACCACGCACACCTCTTCATCAAGAGACCATTCACGGTGGCACCAGTCTCTTTGATCAAAGAGGACCGCAAACAACCTTGGGTGATCACATGTGCTAGTTGCAGATGAACAAGCATGGTCTGAGTGGCTGGGTCAGCAGATCGGGGCCGTCCTGCTCCTGGCCAGCCAACAGGCCCACTGCAGCCTATCACGGGGACCCTCGTGCCCTTGTACCATCTCAGCTAGCCTTCATATAGTTTCAGGCTCCATGGTCCACATCAGTGGAGGCTTGCAGGAGATGTGACTTTATTTTTGGATATTTTGGGATACAATGGGTGCAGCCATCCAGGTTGACATGTGTCATCGTGAAGACTGCACATGCCAAGGAGATCTAAGGCCGTGGGAACTGTAATCAGCTGGCCAACCCGAAACCGGACTTCTGTAGTCTTAGTACAACAGTTTCGGGATGGCCTGCTCAAACCTTCACGGACCCAACAGGCGAGCGGGATCGCAATAGACTTTTGATTCATTCAAGTGGGGCTATGTCTTCAAGGGAAGGAACTACAGTTTCGGATTCGGACAGGTGATATTAATATTCTGGCTGCTCGCAAGAATTCTGAAGGTTTCCGGGCTTCAGCCGCTCATTTGAATGCTCCCGTTTACGTCTTGCCGAGGCGTAGCCCCCGAATTATAATATTATACCCTCATCAAACTTAGTCTGTGATCTCTGAGAGAGCATGTCCGCATGACTGCTATTTGAGGCTTGTTTGTACAGGCATGATGGCACATGTGTATGGTTACAACTAATCATTTTGGGACATTGAAAATACGCTAGGAATAAGCCTTAAATAAGCCTTATTTGGTCTGCTCCCAAATAAGCCTTAAATAAGGCTTATTTAGGACTTATTTCTGAATTCTATAGACATCATACTCTTATCCTGGTGGGGGGGGGTGAGTGCTAATCTCTATGAATCTTGGGATGTTGGAGAAGAAGACCTGGCCACGAACTTCTAGAAGCTCCGTCTAGTTCGATTGGAACCAGCAGCGGCTTTATGACACTGCAGTGGCTACAAGTGTTGGATGTTGAGGAGGCCGCCATGCAAACCTCTCTCAAAAGTGCTGTGTTGCGATTCGTGCTTCAGGTTGCCTGAGAAGTATACAACTACAGACATTACCAATCGCTGAAGCTTGCTGCTTCAATGCTCATATCAAGCACACCCAAAATATCCCGCAAACTCCTCGTCGTTTGCTTCCTCAACGGCTGGTTCCTGACCGGGTTCCAGCGGCTTCGGCGGCTGCCCTTCGAAGCATCCGTTCCTCAAGTCTTCAATGCCAGAAGCAGCTGAAGGGGCTGCAGCTCTGGATGGTCACGGCTATACATGGGCAAGGCTCGTGACCATGTAATCAAAGTCCAGAAGGACCTTGTCGGGGCCTCCGCCAGCGAGACTTGACAGCATACGACACAACCAGCCATTTCCACAGTTTCAACCCGACATGTCAGAGTCCTAACGGTCCGAACAACTTGAGACAACAGTGGCCCAACCGTCCTGGCGGCTGGTCATTTGGACCTCCAAGCATCACTTCTTTAGGTGGTGGTCCTGTCGGCAACGCATCAACACTCAGTGCCAAAGTGAGCGACAGTGACGAGCGCGTGAGACTTGCAGAAAAGATGGAGGAAACATAATTTACGTACGGTGCGGTCCTGACGTCAAAAACTTGTTCGAGAACCATCTTTTCCACGTGTTCTGCCTTATGAGCATTGTGACCCAGAGCCCATACCACAGCAGGTGTCAAGGTTTCTTTTTCAATATCTTCGGGTCGCTCGTTGTAGGCCGTCAGCGTCTGCAGCAAGAGGAGCAGCAGGTGATCCCGGATGAAATATGGAGACCTTCGCTGGTTCCTGCTCCTGCTACAACATACTTCAGAGGGCATCACACTTAACAGTGCTGTCAAGAAGCAGATCGTATGTAACTCGAGCATCGATGGCTTCAACCACCGGGGAGATGCGAGGACTGAAAACGTGCCTTGCCATCCACTCGTCGCAAGGACTCTGGACTTCTGCCACTGCACTCCAGCCTATCCCCCCGCGCACACACACACACACATACACACTCACACGCACTTAGAGACCAGTCATCCTTACTAGGTGGATGCTGTTTGTGCTGGAGATTACTTGCCTATCCTGGTGCCTCAGGAGCCCACCAGCTAATCCGAGTAGGTACGCCGAGTGTCTGCAGTCTTTTCTAGGCTTCTGGGTGAAGCTCCACGCCAACCAGTGGCGGTCACAGACCTAAAGACACCTGGCTTATAGAACGCAGAAAAGGAGTTCAATGCACATACCAGCTGCAAGCATGTTCGCCCAAGAGCTCCACGCACAAGTATGTTTACCTGTCCTCTGCTTATGACACAGAGCATGGTTGGCGCGAGCTGCGCCGCAAGCTGAATTGTTGCGCATGAAGATGCCACAGAGGCAGACCGCCGATTCGGAAAGGCATTTGACAGCCGACGATGGCCATCACAATGCATTGTAATGTAAGCAACCTCCTTGTATACCCTCGAGATCCCTCAAGTATGCCGGTTCACTGCAGCCGCAGCACCCTAAAACGAGGCAGACATCGGCCTTGCCGACTTGTGGCAGACTATTCCAAACCATGCTCGCACTATTCGCGGCTATCGTGCCATCATCCGGTGCACATTCTAGTTTGTCCTTAGGAGAATGACCATGGTTCTCGCTATAAGAATCTGAAACCTTTGCAGCGCTTGTCTCCGATAACGGATCAGCCGCTGCTTTTGGGGATGCGCACAACTGCTCATCATGGTACGTGTTGCCTGACCTGTTTTTGGACTATTTTTGAGCGAGGACTGGAGAACGAAAGCTGCCCTATGCTTCCACGGTCTCGCGTGCCTTCAGCACCGCAATCACGGAACTTCCATACACAACATGCGTGCGACGTGGAGCAAACAAATCGTGGCGACTAGCGTGCGAAACAGGACAAAGCAGTGGCAAAGAAAGAAACGCACATCAAGGGTCAAACTCGGGCATTTTTTGCTAGTGAGATCCTCGGTCCGTCTCCCAGGAGTGGGGTTGTCCAGGGTTTCCGGTTAAGGCCACTTGCGACAGTTGGTCTGTCTTCCGGATCCTCCTTGTCAAAATCACAGAATGCCTGCAGAAGCTCGAGTTCCACGCTGAGCCGTGCCCATGTGTCCCAAAATTTTCGCCCAACCACGTGTGGCCTCACAGAATTCCGAGAAACCATTTCCTGTGGGTGACGTTGGCCCTCCACCGGAGACCGTTTTCAACCACAAGTTGAACTACCATAATTTACTAAGGCGTCATTCTCGCACAAGCAATGCCTGCACGGAACGGTGGATCAACTCGTAGTACGGTACACTGCTTTGGTTAAGCCTCGAGGTTAAGACGTTGTTGCGTGGTTCCGGGATTCTTGCTGGCAGCCCCACACATTGATGCTTTCTGAGACAAAAGCTTCAAGCCTTTAAAAATACACGCAACCACAACACCACCTGCACCTCACCCCAGCACACACTCAAGCTAGAGATATGTCAAAAAATGCTTCGACAGCTTTTAAATTAGAACGAACCTCAACGCCGCAAACCCCACCTGCAAACTAAATGCACCTAAACTACTATGACTTAGCCTGAGCTAAGTACACCCATGTCTCATCTCAGTTCGTCCCCTAAGCAGCCTGCTAACACCATGCAGATAATTCGATGGTGCGTGGGAGTTCCCCGGTTCTTGCTGCTTCGCAGGACAGGTGTTTCACCCGCACCACGTTATCGCCACGGTCCCGTGCCCGTGCAGGCCTCCGGAGACACTAGTGTTCAGCCTCTCGGAGTCTTGAGGTGTTGGAGTGGTCTTGGGATGTAGCCGTCTTCTCTAGTCTTTCACCATTACTAAACTGCTCAAGATTTATGTCTGGTGAACTTTCGAAACATGGACATGGAGCAAAAGCCTTCTGCCGGAGAGTCGGCTGGCGGTACAGAGCACTAGCAGCTTGAGCAGAAACAGGAGAATACTCGCATTACTCCCACAAACCATTCAGCAGGAAGCCTTTTCCAAACTAGGGATGTCAGTGTTGTGCATACTCTCGGCATTTAGGTCAATACATTGATACACACCAGTCAGGTGCTCGCCTGAAGAAGAGAAATGAGCTTGGAAACTCTAAATTCTTAGCACAGATGTAGCCCTGCTAGGAGATATCTTGTGGCAAACAAAGGAGATGTACCCCCGAAGGGAGATCTGAGGGGAAGCCCTGAACCTGAAGAGAGATACTGTGGAAGAAGCGGAGACCTTACAAGGAGATGTTGGGTCGGAAACCTTGACTCTGAAAGTCGATGTTGGGAAACGCCTCAAAAGGAGATGCCGGCAATCTAAAGAGACGTCGGATCTAGCAGGTATCTTTATTCGAGGGGACTGATCGAATGTGAAGCCCTAAATCGTTGGCGGGCACATCCGAAGAAGGCAGCCTTTTCAGCATGAACAATTCAAAGTGAGTTTGTTGACGTTCCCACATGTGTGGAGGCTGCACGTGGGACCCGGCTGCCTCTGGCAACTAGTGTCAAGAATTCTTATTTGTGGAAAGCCGTTGATGCCAAGGTTTTCGGATCTTTTACACATTGCTCACATGGTGGCTTCTCCTAGCCCACACCCACGCATGGAGACATGCAGACGAAGCTAGAGACAGATGCACAGGCAACGACAGCCCCGCATCATCGTGCAGCCAAGAAACAATTCCGGGAAGCGTTTCAAATACTGCGTGAACCTGAGCCGCGACAGTCGTGCTGCAAACCGCGCATCCCTCGAGCACCAGATCGCTCTGAGTGTCTCGCCATTGAATCAGCAGCAAGACGATGTGCGTCGGCTTCCTCAGAGATGCAGAAGTCAACCATGTTCATTTGACCGCTTGACTTCTTGAGGTCAGCTGCTCAGGAACCAGGCGCAGTCTTTGAGACCTGCTATCCCAGCGGTCATGGAGCATATCCTCCACGCGGCCAGGCTGAGAATGCTTTCTGAATCCGTTGAAAAATGCTTGCTCAGCACGTCTAAATCTAATCACAATTCTTGAATTGCGCCTCGATCTCATGAGGCTGAAGCAGCACACACACCATGCGCCTGCTGCAAAATGTAGTCGAGAGCCCAGGAAACGAATGGGTGCATGAGGCCGGTTGAGTGCAGCGAAGCCACAAGTACGCATCCTGCACCACAAGAGGAATTTCCTGATCGGTGTCTGATGCCAGCCTCGGTTCAAAGTTTTGAGAACTGCACTTTTAGCGACGCACATCACAATGCAAGAAAGACTCCAGTACACAACATGGCGGAAGAATCTTTGTCGGGCCATACCATACTGCGACTCATGATCTTCGTCGTCGTCCTTCGTGACTACGAATGTCTAGACACCCTTGCCGTCTTTGGGAGAGATTCTTTGACAGATCGGCGAGGCCTCATCACCTCCTTCTTCCATCTCAGGTCTTTGGCACTTGATGACCTCCCTGGCGAAGTGCCTCAAGACGGTCCTGCGAAGCTGAGATAGGAGGCAGTATTGCTGCAGGCCGGCATCTACAAAGCTCATATGCCTCATGCTATGCACGTGTTTCACCTTGCCTGTTAGCTCCGAATGCTGAACACTTCAACATAAGCTCGATCGACGAGAGCGCAAAGGTTGTCGGAAACATTCGGTTCCTCGCATGCAGGTCGCGCAGATCAGGCATCCAAAACTCGTTTCATTATGTTTTTAACCCACCGCCGAACTGTGTCATTCCCAAGGCACGTTCCCAAGACCAGCTTGTTCACTTCAGCTAGCGGGTCCATGTCCATTGCAACCTGCATAGTCAGTGACGCTACAAGGCTCCAATCGCAGCTCTGCTCGGCCTGCTCAGCCTGCTCATGCTCCTCGACTGTTTGCGCACCTTACACTGTACAAGATTGTGCGGCTTACACGCATTCTATGTGTTGCAGTCTGACACTTGTTTGCGCATGTTGGCTAGCCCCATCTAGCCTCCACTTAGATGCAGCCATTGCTTGTTAACTCATGGCGCAATTTTGCATTGGACGCAGTGTTGACGGATTGGTGGGATACTCTCCCGCAACGAAGCCTTTGCCCCGACGCCGAGCCGCTTAAGGCTCACCGATCCCTCGGAAAGTGCGTGCCGTGGGATCTGAGCAGGTCTGGGCATGCGTACAGCTCTTTTTCGCGAGCCCACACATGCAGACAAACGGAGACACGCAGTCACGAAGACACAAAAACACACAAACAGAAACGCCTGAGTGCTGAGTCTGAAAACGAGATGGTGGTTAACCGGACACCAGGAATGGTGCAGCATAGAACGAGATGACTAGCGAACATACATGACATGTGACTCATATGACGGCCTTCCAGGTGGAGCTGGCAATTGCACGTTTGCAGGTGGTGGGCAGCTCTTCGTTGAGCGACAAACTCCTGTTCCACCACAAAAAGACATAGGTGCACACACGCACACACACACACACCCAACCAAACAATCCCAAACACAGAGACACACACACACACAAACACACACACACACATATACTTGCATAAGAGCCATAGTCGCTTAAGCGGATGTACGCATCCGAATAAAGATTGGGTGCCGCAGGAGGCCCACGAGCTGATCTGTTGCAGGTATGTCAGATGGCGACCCATCAACCATCACCAGCACACATCCACTGTTTATTGGGGTGCAAGAGTGGGCGGGCTGCCTGCACGTCGCTAAAAGGCAACATGACGCAATGCGATCAACGCTACAGCTATGAGAGACAAAAGGTTTCGGGCATGGGTTTTTTCTTACGCCGTGGGCTTCTCTCCTTATGCTCCCGGCTTTTTCTTATGCTAACGGTTTCTGCCCTTATGCAAACCGGGCTCTTCCTTATGTGGACCTGGCTTATCCTTATGCGAACCTGGCTTTTCCTTTTTTCCTTATGCCCTCCCCCCCTCCCCCCGATAAAAACCGGGTTTTTCCTTATGCTCCCCTGTTGCGCCTGCACCACAATTGCCCCCCCCTTTCCGGAATCGGCTTTTCCTTTTGTTTTAGACTCGAAGGAAAACCAACGGTCTCTTTTTCTGACACACCTTGCGCCTCAGCACAGCATATTCCGATCAGTCTTGACTTGCAAAGCTCACCACGTTGTGGATGAACATACATCATGATATACAGTAAATAGGAGTCCAGGATTGAACCAAAAGCCAGAAAATCCATTAAAGCTGGGTGCACCCCCCCAAAAAAAGGTTTTGATTTTACAAAATATAAAACCCTATGGATCCAGCAAAACCTGATTTTGGATATTCTGTCAAAACCTGGCTCCTGCAAGCTTTTTCGAAAGCGCCCCGTGCTGTTTCAGGAACGATTTTTGGCCCGCCGCCCGGTGGCTTTAAAAGCAAAATCAGAAGCCAAAAACAGGGCCGTAAACCTACTTTAAATTAGATGCATTTGCCGTGGCTCGGCAACACTTAGGTTTTCACCCTCAAAACCAAATGCCCAAAATCCGTCCTAGCTGCGTGAGCCCCTGAAAAAATGGCTTCGATCCGGAGATTTCCCCTCAAACATGGTTTTGATGCGAGCAATTCTGAAAACCCTATGGAACCTGCAAAACCTGATTTTGGATATTCTGCTCAAAACCAGGCCCCTACACGCTTTTTCGTAAGCGCCCGTGTTGTTTCGGGAACGGCTTTGGCCTGAAACCCGCCTCTGATGTCAAACATCCAAAAAGTCTAAGGAACCTGCGAAACCTGATTTTTTTGACACTCACACTCGGACAAGCCTGGCAAGGTCTGTAGCGATACTGGTCCGACGATTCATTACCGTCCTACTTGGCCCGTGTCACCATGTACGACAGGCTGTCAGGTAGGGCTAGCGACAGGACAGCAACAAGCGTACAACCAAAAAGTTAAGCCCATCTGACAGTAGTCATCCAGTAAAGCAAACGTTCCACACCCGAATTTTTTAGGGTTCCTGCCTTTCTACCGGGAAGCTGCAGATTTTTCTTCGCCTTGACATGCCACATCGAAGGCAGTAGATGGTCGGTTACAAGACCCTTCCTGCAACCATTAGCGGAAGTCCGATGCCGAAAAATTCTAAACCGACTTTCACACACGGAATTTCCTGTGGGAACCCATCTTTTAATGCAGGATACTTTTGTTATGCTTTGTTCCTCAAGGTGATCTCTTCGCAAGCATAGGCATGATGACTAGTTTTCTGTAGCTTATTAAAGAGTTTATTGCTGTCCAGGCTTGCAGCTGTCGGCGCAGCTGCACAAAAAAACCATGCTAGCTTCTCCTGATGTGTAAGCATCGCACGAGTGACATCATGCTGCTGATAGAGCGGCCGGAAAAATGGAGACGGTTTTGTCCCTCAGGGTGCGCTTCAAACGTTGCAATCAACAAGTCACGTTCGCATGCAGGCCAGCATAAACAAACGCGGCCCATGCAGCTCAATGGGGACCACTCTCCGCCGTCCCACCTGGCCCTTGCACCGTAAGCTCGGAAGCAGACGCATAAACAAAAAGTCAGAGTCGCACTACGGCCAGCATAAAAACAAGTCAGGCCTGGCTGCTGGCTAAATGGGGCCAAAACCCCAGCTCGGTGGGACTCAGCTCTCCTCCGTCCCACCCGGCCCATGGAGAGACGGGGCAGCATAAAAAAAGGCCAGCTTAGCATAAAAACAAAAACCGATAGCATAGATGGAGAAACCTCGGGCATAAGAGGAGAACCCATGAGCACAAGCAAACAACTTTGTCGGCGACGAGATGGAGGCATGGAGGTGGCCAGCATAAAAATAAAAAACCTTGAGCATAAAAATTAAGTTTCACACACACACACGCACACGCACACGCACACGCACACGCACACGCACACGCACACGCACGCACGAAAGGCAGAGGGAGCTGGCCATGTGTGGATCGCCCAAAGATGCACCCACCGGAGTTCATTGTATCTTGCCGGTAGGCCAACCAAGCACAGTTCAGCTTGTTCCGGCATGTCTGTCTGTCTGTCTGTCTGCCTGCCTGTCTGTCTGTCTGAGCAGGCCGTCTGCTGCTTGCTTCCCCTGTAGGGTACGTGCTGCCTGCTGCAGCGGCAGAGACCTCTGGAACTGGAACGTCAGCGGCAGAAGCCTTAGCCGAATCACATCATGCTTTGAAGCATGTTTGTGCGACATAGCCTTTTACGCAAAAAGCAACAGCAGAAGTGGCATCCCGCTGCGGCAATTCGTGGAGTCTCAGATTCTCGCACTCATCTGGCCCTCTCGCAGAAGAATCTGCCGCTTTTGAGCACGAGCCTGGTTCAAAGTAGTTCATGCCGCTGCTGGAAAAGGACACTTGAGCACAGAGCAAGTTCCCACGTCACCTCCAGCGCTTCCAAGTAGTCCTTGATTCTGTCCCTGTTGTCTTTCCTGATCGGGCATGAAGTGCCAAACTCTCACAGTCGGCGCGGATACGTGAAGCAACAGATCTTGCGGAGCCATGTGTCAGATTGATCTTTGCGCTCAGAAACCCATCACGCGCCATAGCAATGAAGGGGCTTTCCAGTCGGAACACGGTGTTCTCTTTCAAGAACTCCATGGCGATGATGTTGCCTGGGAGTGTTCTCAGATCCCATTTCTGCCATACTTCTTTAGTTTCAAAGGGGGTCCAAAGCAAAGTTGTGCCAAAGCCATTGCAGTGTAGCCACCATTGTTCCGCGCATCTAGATTGTCTTTGCCCAAGCTAACGACTGCATTGAGCACCTGAAATAGCCGCAGGTGGTGGCAAGGGACGTTACAAGTACTTAGGATGGTATGCGTCCCGCGAAGCAACACAGCTTGATGTTAAGCCCTGTTACCAAGAGACGCTTCAGTTCTTTGCAACAAAAGATAACAAAAGTCTTGAGGCGGGCACAGCTCCTTGATGCTGCCAGTTCCGTACCCAACGAAGCTGTGCATCAGAGAGGCAAACACAGGGATTGACGAGGATGAAAAGTCGTGTGAGAGAATAGGTGGGTGGGCGCAGGGGAGGAGCGGCAGGAGTACTCTGAAGCATTTGTCAAAAACATGGGTTGCACCCACACTGTGATTACTTCATGTTCTGGAGTTGGCCCAATACACGCACGAAGCCTGATATGGGCCGGGGGGGCTTACATTTCCTTGCACTTGCCTCTTGGATCGGGACATGCAGGATGTGTAACTGACAGGCTTCCGACTCACAGCAGCTGCCGACCCGTCAAAATTGGCAATACAACGAACCCCACTGCTCTACTCTTGCAACATGCATATCAACAAAACTGAAACCGAGAACCTTTACCAGCAAGACGTGGCTAGCTTCGCTTATGAATGCCTCTGTAGCTGCCGACCTGGAGGGCACGCGGTGGGGGGGGTGCTGCAGCTCAGCCCAGGACTGTAATGGCACAAACATCTCTAAGATCACGAGCTGCAAAGGGACATGCTTTGCCGAGGTGCTTTGAGGGCATCCAAGGAGACCATCGGCCGTGCTGTGAGATTCTCCTTGAGCACGTCCATCATCTCGCGTACAAAGGATGGCGTAACATTTTGCACTGCATCCAGATTGTCCTTGTAGATGTTCACAAGCAAGGAAGAAACACCCATGTCCTCGTATGCTAAAGATTTGACCAGGAACTTGAAGACGTCAGGTCTGAGAAATATCTCTCGATACATTGGAAGTAGCTCTGTGAAGGCCTGCAAGAACTTGACGGCCACGTCGAACGCGCTGTCTTTGCGTCTGAAAGTTTTCTCAGCCATGATGGAATCTCGCAGCGGAGCTGAACTTCGCAGAAAGCTCAGAACACGCAAGGCAAGGAGCTCCACACGATGGTACTTGAGCAAGTGTCCGTCGCCCTGTTTGCAAATCGAAGTGAAGTGCCGGAACAGTTTCGCTAGTTGGGCTTTCTCCTCTCTAACAGGGTAGAGCTGCGTCAATCGCAGTCGCAGTGTGATTTCCGAATCTTGCTCCGGGGACAGTTGCGAGGGATCCTCCTCATTAAAGCACACGAATATTCGGGTGGAGCCGTACACCATGTTCTCATGGATTTCTATGGCAACAAGTCCGGTGTCCACTTGCTCGTTGTCGGACCCTTCACGAAGCACAGGATTCCATTTTGTGCCGACCATTCGTCGCAAGTGTGTGGTTGTATTGCTGTAGAAGGAGTTGAAGGCCTTTTGGGATGCAACATGGGCCCCACGGACGAATTGAGCCGACTCGATGAACGCTTGGGTGAGAGAAACGTTGATGCACCATGTGGAGGACTTCTTGGGATGAATGGGCAGTTTGAATGCTTTGAGCTTGGAGAGGTACTCGGTCCGGAAGTCCAAAGCACTTGTGCAGAAGCACGAGTTCCAGCCACTATAGATCATCGTTGGCTCTTCCTCCCCAGGGCTCTTGATGCAATACTTGTCCCCGAGAACATCATAGCTGACGTCCACCACTAGCGAGTTCTCATCAATCTTCGTGTCCTTCGGTGAGATTAAAAGGCCCTTGCCACGGCGAGGCCGTCCTTGGTTCAGCTTGACGATCTGCTGCAGGGAACCCAACACGACACAGGGCACGGAGCCTTCCTCCACCTCTCTGTCAATGCAGGCTGTTCTGTAGCCATCGACATAAATGAAGAGCTTCGGGTTAACACCTGTATAGTCTAGCTCTATGCCAACACAGCTCCCTTGGAAGAAGCCTCCAAAGGTATCGTCTATGGCCTGGCCACGGATGTAAAGCTGGCCAAGTTCGTCGCAGCCGAAGAATTCGCTTGGTGGCTTGAAACGGTTCATCTTCACGTCCGCCTCCTCTTTCGGAGGCAACCAGCCAGCACTCAAAACACCTACGAAGAGCGGACAGGGCCGATTCTCGTCATCGTCATCCTCACCTGGAGTTGTGCTAGCAGAGTTTCTGGAGTCTGGGCTAGAGGCATGCACCATCTACTATGTCAGGGAGAGGGAGCGCTGGGTCTAGGCCCCTAGGCTGAATCGAAGTCCTAGCCCGAAACCGCTAGGGGCATAGCATGGCCAGACCAGGCAAGGCTCCAGGTGTTGCAGACTCCCGCTTTGGCAAGCTTTTCACCTCAAAATCAAAGTTCAGTATGCGAGCATCGCCTTGGAGATTTGCTGCTGCCATTCGAACAACTTGCTGACGCAACTGCTTCTTGTCCGCGTACTCAATTAAACGATCGGCCTTGTCCTTGAGATCAACATGCTCACTTTGCAGATCGTCTTCGTTCCAATCATTTGCTTCAAACTGCTGCGAGTAGTGCTCCAACCCCTCCCGGTCAGCAAAGCTTTGCTCCTCATGCATGGTTTTCTCAAGCTGGTTGATCTTATCAATCACTCGATCGGCTTCTTTCACCCATGTTTCCAATGAGTTGAACTTCTCGGCATCGTCCATATCAAGCAGCTCTAGTCTGTCAATGGCTTCGAGGAAATCCTTCCGTCGGCGACATAATCGTGCAAGCAAGCGGACTGCCTGAATAGCAAGGCGCGCGTCAGGCAAGGAAACGAAGTCAAGCAACACCGTGACGAACTCCGCCAGATTCCGCGTGGCGTCTGACACTCCAACATGCTCTGCCTCCCATGGCAGAGACGGCTTTCCGAGGTCTGCCAACACCTTCTCCACACTCTCGCATTCTTCGATTTCGAAGCCTGTGATGCTTTTCGCCGGCGCGTGCTCATTGATGGGCACACCGCTTGCACCAACTTTTCTGCGAACCGACGGAGGCAGGAACTCGAGAAACCCAGACATGAATTGCAGGATATTCTCGTTCACAGACAAAGCACAACACTGGTTTATGACCCGACAGACATCTGCAAGGCCCGCAACAAAGGGTGTCGTGGTGACACTGCGGTGAGTCCTTTGCAACCTGTGCATAAGCGTGAAGATGCTAACGAGGTGATCTATCTTGTAGATGTTGGCGAAATCTTTCGTCAAATCACCGGCTTTGCTGTGATGCATCCGGAAGCGCTCAAAATATCCCAAGCCAATGAGTTTGCTCAACATCTTGCTAAGTGCGCTGATGAGGGTGCTCATGGCATCTGTAAATGCAACAGGCGGTTTGGGCATAGCCTTGTTGTTGAATACGCACATGTTCTCACACAAGTCGGCAAGTGAAGCAAGCTGCCACGAGCACATGTGGCAGAGTGACTGAAGGGATTGGCTAGCCAAAACCAGATTGGATCCGGCTTCGTCGTAAACCGTGTCGTCATCGTCGGCTCGACGGCCATCAAGGTACACTGACTTTATGATGGTACTCCGATGCTCCTCGTCGGAGAAAGGCGGTTGGCCCAAAAAGCCGTAGAGCAGAAGGAACGTATGAGCACAAAGGCCTGCGAGGTCACTGATGTCACCAAGATCACGTGCTTCTACACTTGGGTCAGCTAAAGCGCTCTGAAGCAGCTCCCCGCCGGGTGGTACAAATCGGAGTCCGGCATTCATCAAAGTTTCCTGCTGCACCAGTTGAGCTTTGACGATCGAGTCTGGAATATGCCGTGAAAGCAATGCGGAGTTGGCAGTGTTGCGGTCAGCGCAAAGATGAGCCAGTAGATTCACCAAGGCAAAATAGAAAGAGCGTTCGAGAGAGACATTATCTCCGACATGCTGAGTCACATCGTCACTGTGCTGGCCACAAGCGTACCGCGGTGGTTGAGCACGACTCTGATTCCACAAAACTCTTGGAATTTTCACGCCCTCCGCTGCTTCGAGGTCTGGATCGTGTGGGTCAAACAAAACAAGAGTGCCAACTGTCAATAACACAAACCGATCTTTTTCCTCGAAGAACTGCTGCAGCGTCTTCTTCTCGCCCTGGTCTCCTTTCTCCCCGGCGCGCCTGGCAGCACAGGTGTCTTTGGTCGCATGTCGTGGAAGCGCCGGGGGTGGCCATTAATTAAATTATATAACTATATTTCAAGATCTTAGCATAGCTAACTTAACTATGGCAGCCTAGTCTCGTGCTATCAGCAGTAAACGGCTGCTCGGCCCATGCGTTCTCGTAGCACTCGGGCTCTGGACGGCGACGACATGCCGCAGCCTCGTTGGTTACCAGGAGCTCCTTGGCGATGAGATCTTGCGTCACGCGCACGGCTCGACTGTCCTTGCCGATGCACAGACTAGTCAGCACCCGCACCACGCTCTCCATAAAGGGGACGTGATAGAAATTGTCTGCTGCCATCTTTGTGGCAACTTCTGAGTCCAGGGACTTCATGTACGTCGGCGTGTCCATGAAGTGCTTGCGTCGAGTGAACAGCTTCCAGAAGACGTCCATTAGCACTCGCACTCCGCCAAGATTCAGCAAAGGGTCACCCAGGTGGCATGTTTGCAAGAACTGCTGCAGCACACCGTCAAAATTCCTGCAATATGTGCGCGGCAGTAGACAAGAAAGAAATGACATGCTCGACTAGTACAGTTTCCTGTGAGCTTTCGCAGCATCTATCTCTTCAGCAAGGCCAGCAGGGACTGGACGGACAAAGGCCATCAGCATCAGGTATCTGCAGTTCGAGAAAGTTGCATCGGGCTGTGCAGTGCCTTTCCTGCACCTACTCTGCAGCTGAGATTGGCACAGAGTGTTGCAGGACCAACGGGTAAGTTGCTCACTTGCGTGGCCGCTGCCTCGGCATTGACTTTGCGAAGCTGGGCGACTTCGCAAAGGACTGCACAATGAGCAAGCAGTCTTCGTGGCTCTTTGGGACTTTTGGGTTTCGGCTCCAAAGTTGTATCTGAACAGCATCAAGAAGCACATCGGCACCAGCAACGGTACCAGGTTGTGCTGCAGAAAGACGTCCGGCATCGTGATGGAGCTCATAACCTGCAGAGCGAAGGCCGCAGAGGCAGAGGTTGTGCCGTCAGCTCTAATTTGACTCTGCTGGATCTGACGTCTTACTTCGTTTTTTGCGCTTGGAAAGCCTGTGCCCGCTGCTCCGGTGAATAATCAGACGGGGCAATCTGCAACAGGCCGTGGACAGCTCCTGCCAATGAGCAAGAACATGTCAGAAATCTAGTCGCACAAAACCGCGATTTAGTGCTGCTCACATTCCTCACAGTCTCCTGGATGAACTGCGAAGGGCAGCATCACGGCCATGAAGTTTTCTAGCTGTGCTTTTTCAAAGGGTCCTTCCTGAAGCTTGCAGCGGTTGACGTGGACCGTGGAGATTAAGATTTTGCAAGATACCAACACACATGGTTTCGCCCAGGGGCATTGAAGGGATTTAGCCACTTGGCCTGAGGCCAAGCTTCTTCCGAATGGAGACTCTGTAGATTCTAGCTTTAGCACGGGTCTCATCTCAGGAGGCCTTGTTGCTCGACTTGCTTGCCGGGAGGTCCTGACACTGGCGTCAACTGGACTTGGAGACTCACAGATCTCGCTCACTGCAAGCGGGTCCGTTCTCGTTGATCTGCCACCGGAGGTTTCAGAACCGAAGAACGAGCTTTTGCCTTCACTTCTGCCCATGAAACTTTTGCCAGCGTCCTGCACACGCGAAGTCCGGGGTTTCGAGGGATCGGGTGTGCAATGTGCAGCAAGACAAGGCAATCGAATTTCAGCTTTAGGGCCTGTCCAAGCTCCTTCCTACACACGAATCCCATCGCAAAGTCCAAGGGCGACAGCGCAAATGGCCTGCAGGTTCGTGGTCGGCGAAGCCCCAGAAGCGTCCATATCTCCAGACGTCCTCCGCAACCAACCCCAATGCCACACCGATCTGAAGCATTTCTGCAAACTTAAGGGTGCTGCTAGGCTGCGTCATATTCATCGACTTCATCGTCAAAGCCGTGGTCCCTTCAGAAGCATTGAGGTTGCCGATGACCGTTGTACCAGCCGTGGAGCCTCGGTTCGGGGATCTCTCGTCCCTTGGCTACGAAACGACACAAGTTGCGAGTTTCATGTGCTGACAGGCGTCCTGCGGCCTGCGAATACTCATCGTCGCCGCGCCTGGCAGCACTGAACTTGATTCCGAGGCAGCGTAAAGCCACCTGTAGCGGTAAAGGAGCATCTGATCCTAGTAACACATAGAGGAGGGGGTATTTTGTTCAGGGTCTACTGAAACACAAACACACCGACTGCTGCCATCTTCAACCTCTGGCTTCTTTTTCTGCTTTCATGCAAGGCACTCAGAGACCACCTCGTATTGCTCATCTGCCTGCACAAGCATGTCATATCGTATATGGATGGTTTGGGCGGCTCAGGGAGAGCCCTCTTTACCACGCTGCACATCTATGTCGCATGCTCTGCAGTTTGCTGCGCATGGCGCGGTTGGCGACTGTGGTCTGGACACACGGCAGTAACACGAACAGGATCATCCGAACGGGATCTGGGGGGGGGGGGGTGCAGACAAGATCTCAGATCTTGGGGGGTGGGAATCGGATCCTGGGCTAAACCCTAAACCCTAACCCCTCCCTGATCTGCTTCGGCCCTCTGTGCGAGCCTGTCCAGCGATCTGATTCAGAAAGCCGATTGGAACCCCCCTAAAATCCCCTAAATCTGATTGGAGCACACTTGATCCATCGATGAGTGTCCCTGGACCTGTTTGCTTGTGAAGGTTCTTCACAAGCGTCACCCCGAAAACCCCCTCATGTAATGGCGGGATTAGAAGTCCATACCAAGGACTCGAGGAGGCCGCTATGAGGCTCAAAACGTGAGCGGGACTGGCGGGAGCAGCATCTTTGGAGGCGGAAATACGAAGCGCATGTTCATTGGCGGGAGCGCCATCTGGGAGTGGAACCGCAGGCACTGTAGAAGTGCAAGGATGCGTTAGTGGACCACAAAGGGGCAAGGAACCGATAGGATTTAATGTTGAGAGCAGCAACCCAAATCGTTTCCCCCGTAGCACTGAACGCGACAACCCTGCAACCCTGAACCTTCCCTTCTCAAGTCTTTAACCGCAACTTTCAACACTGCGACTCCGCTCGTCATCCTTCTGTCTTTCTGACGATTTCCGAAGTGGGCCTTTGTCATTTCCAGGCGGCTTGTTTGCAACGGCTTCGTCTGCTTGATGCAATACCTGAGCAATCAGCTGCCCCGTGAGAAAGTACTCATTAGGACATCGAACACACATTGGCTGTGAGTCTGATTCAGACAGGTGGCAGAATCTGCAAGTCAGCTGTGGCTCTTGTGTCTCCATGCTTCACTTGGAGACCTCCAACACCAAGAAATTTCCATTTCTGGACATGGTCTCCGAATCGTCTCTGACTTGCCGATCTCAGCTTCTCACGGATGGTCGGATCTTGAGACTTCTTAAGGTCTCCCCTGATCTTGTGCTCATTGATGGTGACGACGAAAGCAAAGTAGGCCCACCCCTTGTGGTTCAATACATTCTTGATTGTCCTGGGTTGGAGCAAACGCTCTAAACGCAGAATTTCTCCACAACGGGCTTCTGTCCACACGACCAAGGGGCTGATCGTTTTTGTCACGCCAATCCCATGTCCGGACGGTTCGATACTTATAGTTTTCCGTGCTGCGCTCCTCGCGGTAGCGAGCATAGAAGGCCATTTCACCTCCATCGGTGCCAAAAGAGGGGACCACGGATCGTGCGACGAGCCATTTTACTGGAATCCACGATAACTCGAGCCAGCTGCGGGGCCTTGCCGCCTGAGCAGCTTGAAGGATGCCTCTATGGGAAGCTTGTCCTGACGGCCACCAGAAAAAAACACGCTTCCACTCATCCTATGACATCGAGTTGGCTCCGAAGTGGACGCTTCGGCTGAGATGATTCCCCTGCGTACTTAGGCTAAAGAGGCGACTTCCTTGAAGGACCCCGCATCTCAGCATTTAACAAGCGACCTTAGCCATGATTTCGTTCCAATCAATCTCTCTTTCGCTAAAGCTATAGCCGCAATGCCACCATGGAAATGTCGCTGGAAGATGCTGGAAGAGTCCAGGGCAGCAGTCCTCTCCACTCTTCACCACCCGCGCCAACTCCGCATGGCTCATGGAGGTTGAAAAGCAGTCCCACTCGATCTTCAAGTCCACCTGACAAAACTCAGAGATATTCCGAGGCTCCCCCGCTCCTGAGCCTGGCCTTGACGTCCTTGTCAGTCTTTGCCCAGAGCGAAAAAGTGAAGGACCTCTCGCTTCTGGAGTCCTGTGTGCTGCAATCCTCCCGGCCCCTCCCCAGGTCCCAAACAGTTCCCAAACTGTCCCGGAACACAGTCTGCGTCTCTTTCTGGGATCGATTGCCCTCGTCACTACCTCGAGATGACACTCTGAAAAGGCTTCTTAGGAACGTGTTCAGGAATCCAGTGCCACTCCATTGCCAAGTCGCTCTTCGTCAGGATGTGGCTTACGATCCGATAGTCATGACCTCGGATGCCACGCGCATGCATGTACGAAGATTGATGGATCGGCGGAATGATGCAATTCCGCCAGGAACAGAAGTCAGTCCAAGCATGAGCTTGGCTGCTCTTGAGGCCCCCTAAGCCTGAACTCAGTACAGTAGTAGTCGGCCAGTCGTCACCAGCGCACACATCGCACACTGCGTGATGTCCCATAGCTTCGGAACCGTGATCTCTACAAGGGAGGTACTTGCAGACTCGGCATGGTTCGTTTGATCTGGAAAGGCGATGGGATCCAATCAAACGAGGCCGTCGCCATTCAATCAAGACAAGTCCATGAAGCGGAGAAGCTGGGGCTTTGACGTTAGAGAGCCGGTTTGCTTGTGAGTCTTTGAAAAGGCATTTGAGTTCAGGTTTCCTTCAGGGAGTTCTTTATTCGACGTCATGTGTCCAGCATGCTGCACAGAGCTTGCCGGCCCCAATGAAGGTGATGCATGGGGCGGGTCTCATGGTCAACCATGTGAGCATGTCGGTCCGTGCCACTGTGCATTCTAGATTCCAGATGCAAAAAACGTTGATACAGCGGTCCGAGAAGCCTCTGAGGCCCTGCAAAGCCTGGAGCACAACGTAACAGCAAAAAAAAAAGGGGACCCACCACCGCCACCCCCTCCACAGACACAGAAGGGGGGGCAGGGGCGAGAGGGAGTCGCCGGTCGAGCCGAGCGCGGACAACTGAGGAGACTGCTGGCTTTGAGGACGTCCTGCTTCTTGCACTCCATTCTTGGCATCTGTGGCCCCCAGGAGTGTAAGAGGGTGTACATGACCTCTGGTGCAAGCTGCAATGCCATTTGCAAAATATTGTAGCACCGGGCTCTGCCTGTTTATTGATTGCAGCTTTGATGCTTCGACGACGCGGGCGTGCATCTTCCGGTTGCAAGTATACACCTAATGTTTGACAGTCTTACTGTGCGGCCGGTCTTTATCATTCCTGCGAGAATCTTCGCCTGCAGAATCTGACTGTGCTTCCACGTGGCAATATGGGCCATAGCATCGATCAAATTTGTGACATCTGTGTCCACGTGATCCAGTAGCGACATGTTTTTCGTCCCTGTGTCCACCTCAAGGTGCCCCCCAGCAAGGCGAAATCCGTTGATGCTTGTGCTGCTCGCAGCATCTCGTAACTGTCGTTTCTCTGACTCTACAGACCCAGAGCCTCAACATCTTTCAGCATGTTGTAGAGGTCACGTAGCCCATCGCCGAGATCCTGGGGTCTAGCGAAAATTGTCGCGCCACGGTCGGTGTGATGCTATGACTCTGATGCCCAGCAACATATGCCAAAAGCTGCAGGATGGGCACGCAGTTGGTGTTCTCGAGAAGATCAGACCTGGCGTCCACCGTTCAAGGTCTGAGGACTTTCGAAGCTGAAAAGGGGGCATGCCCTGGGCATGTCTACCAAACGAACTGGCCGAGGTGGCTGAAGATTGGAGAGGCACTGGCCAACGTTAGAAATGGCACCACAAAGCTCACGGAAAAGCCGCGTGTTGAACACATAAGGCAGCAAGAGGTATTTGTTTGCAATCACTTTGCCTCAGTCTGGCATGGTTTGCAGATATGCCTTTGTCGATCCTGTATCTTGGATTTGATTCAAGGACAAGCTAACCAGGCGAGGTGCGAGTTTGTGGATCAATGCACACAGATGGTGTGTCCAGCTTGAAGGCCGTTGCATCCCTTTGCAGGCGCGAGCATCTGTCAAAGGACAACTACTGGTATCAAGGAATCTTAGGTGTCTGATTCCTGGCTCGTCTCCCTCACTTGTGTTGTATTATGTACGTGCTTCCGGCTAAGCGATTCCCCAGGCTACGAAAACTATCAACTGCTATCTAATTTGCTCACTACATGAGTGCAGCATGAGGGACTTGAAGCGAGGCAGAAAGTCTTTGATCTCTCCAATGACCCGCATAAGCTTCGGAACCACATCCTCCACAATAAGCATTGCGTGCCCTTCAGGATGAGACACCAGGCACACCTGGCAAAGTGGAGCGAAAGCCCTGCTGCAGCAAACAGCTTGCAAGTAAGAGTCTGCTGTGCCTTCTTCAGCACGGATGCAGAGCTGAATGCAACCTCTGCAGCGGATGTTCGACTGTACGGTTGAGATTGGGCGACGACAGATGCTAAGCCAAACTGACTTGAAATAAGAAATAAGAAAGCTGCAGAGAGATCTCGGAACAAGTCGTGAAAGTTCTCGAGCTCACTAAGTCTGTCGACGGATTTCTCCAAAGGTCTGAGAACCTGAAGGACGAAGATGCACCGTTCGGAAAGTGGAAAGTCAGGCAATGGTGCTCTTACCAAAGCTTGCCCTACACAGCTGCTGCGCCTGGAGCAGTTGCTGGGCACCGGAGCCCTTGCTCTTCGTGCTCTTCTGTGTTGAGGAGGAAGTAAAAGAGACGGCTGAAACGATCTCGTAGCCTCAGCTGAGATCTACCAGCCACGTTGTCAGTGCGAAATCTCAAAACAGTACTCAGATGGGCGACGGATACCTTGCCGGATGATGTTGAAGATGAAGGCTCGTTGCTCTTGCGATGTCTCGGGTTTCTGGAGGATGGACAGCAGGGGGCTGATAATCCTCCAAGGTCGCTTTCTCTACGCGAGCTCATGTTACGTGCGAGATAGTGCGAGTTGCGCCTGCTTGATGCCGGCTCCTTGCTTTCCGCGATGTCCTTCGCTTCAGGCTTCAGCCTGAAAGCACCGCAGCGGAGCCTTCCGGAGACTTCTTCTGAGTTCGAAGGCCCGTACCACTTCGTGAGGATGTTGCAGAAGGACAGAAGGGATGCCCTGACTTTGCAAAGTGCTGCGAAAGGTCGGCTCGTAGAATCCGAGGGCCCTGACTCTGCTTTCTCCGGCACGTAGAAAGCTTGTGTCATAGACGAAAGCACCTGCTCTTCACGAAGCCTGAACAGCCTTCTTTTGCTTGACGGTGGGGACAGAAAGCCTTCTCCACGTTTGCACGGGTGAATCTCGCCAGGTTTCCTCCAAAGCAGCGCAGCTCGAAGGGCTGCACGTAAGAGTGTGCAAATGCAAACAAGACGCTGGGGATGTTCAGAAGCTGCAGCACCGCATCGCACATGGACTGTGCCACTGTCGGATCCAAGCTGTCAACCAACGTCCTTGCAGGTACTTGAGCGGATGCGCTTGGCACGCTACGAGTAGAGCGGTGACTGTGCTGAGTTTCTTATTGGGAGCGATTCCGGTTGGATTATTGGCTTCAGAACTGAGTTTGCAAACAAACGAATTTTGCGTGCTGGAAGACCTCTGTTGGACTTTGCGGTCATCTTTTCATGCCAGTCGCTAGTCATCCCCAGACACAACCTGTTCAGCCTAATCAGACTTGCAGCCTCAAGATCATTGAGCCACCCACCCAGCCTCTGTTGAGCCAATACAACCTGTCGAAAAAAACGCACATTCGTCGGTGATGTCGACTTCTGTTCTTCCAATGCTCCAGCGCTACTCCAACCACTTCGAGGGTCATATGAGCATGCTTCGGAACAGGCTGCCAGGACACCGTGCGATGATCTCAGGGGAAATGTGCTAACCGACAGGGTAGCTCGGACAAAGTGACATTCGGGCTTGGGGTTCTCGTCAGCTCCGTGTTAACAACTTGCCATCGTCCACAACATGTCTGCTGTTTAAGAAAGAGGTAAGTTCAAGCCGAAGCTCAAAATCCGCGCCAAGCTTTCGCTGAACTTATGCGGCTGCTTAGTGGCAACCTGGGCGAGCAATCCGGAGCACTTTCCGGTGCAGCGTTTTCCGTCATCGGCAATGGTATGCACAAGCTAAGACTGAGACCGCTAGAACAGCAAGTGCCAAGATTCTTTGGATAGGTCGCAGCTGGCTATTCAAACCTCGCCACCAGAGAGTTCAGAACTACAATTCAAAGCTCAAGCTTTCCCTCTGCCATGCTTGGACGCCGAGCGGACATAGCTCATGCTGGCAATCACGTTTGTTTGATCTGCATCGTTTTTGGTTGCTGCCGCATCAATGTCCTGAAAAACACACATGCTCAGCAGATCTCAGCAGATGACAGCTTTACCATTGCATGTCACAGGCCCACTCCTGGCCCCCCGCTGCAACTTGCCCATCGCCCAAGCTGTCCAGATTTCTGGCTGTTGCCTGAATGCTCCCAGGATGTCCCAGGCCACTGCCGTTTAACAGGGATCTCTGACTGCTGCAAAAGCCAGGATGCTTTTGCCACACGGGTCCACTTCAGCAAGCTGCTCATGAACCTGTCCACCCGTGGGCAAACAAACAGTAATCCGATGAAGTCTTTCCTACGCCTCCTTTCGCCTCGCGCTGGGGTTTTGCTCATATTCCCCATCAAAGTCGACCCCCACGGAGTCAAATTAATTACAGGCTTCAGAGGAGCGAGTGTCGCAACGCCCGCCGCGGGTGTCTGTACTGCTATTGATGCCGCACTTTCCCTGTGAGAGGTGTCTGAAGGTGGGGTCACGTTACTATCCCAAGACGTGGGCGACGTTCGGAATACTAAGCCGCAACCTGGTCCGGATGCAACTTGATTCTTTAAGGGCCCGGCGGAGTATGTTGAACATCCTTGCTGCTTCATGTTGTATGCGCTGCATGTGCGTTTGGGTGTTTTTTTGTTGTTTGTGTGTCTTTCGCTCTAAAAGTTCGGTGTCCATAAGGTCGGGTGTTGCCCTAACCCTAAATCCTGACAAACCCAGAAACCTTAAACCCCTGCACCCCAAACCCCGTATAGAACCAAATAGGATACCAGAATATACCACAAGCACTGATGATGATATGTATCCCGTCCAAGTGATAATAGACTTATTGTACCATGGCATGCGCGTGCCTTTTTGTCTACTAGAGCACTGGTAGCAGCAGTCGCGTACAACGAATGATTAAACACACGTGCT